GGGTAATTTCAAGAAAAAAGGGAAAAAAGTATAAAGTCAAATGTTAGAAGACATGGAATAGCTAATTATTATTTAATGATGTGTATGAAAGAAAAGATAATATGGACAAAGCTTGGAAAAGAAAAGTACTTTTTCAATTCTTTTTCTCTATCTTTTCAAGTTAAGGAAATTTGTTCTTTACCCTTTCATGTACAACTATAATAGAGGATTTGTTCAGCACTCAACCATATTGTTGGTGCTCTTAGTTGGTTTTTCCATGTTAGTATAGATATATTAACATATAATTTTTCAGGAGGACCTGAGGTTCTGATTATCATCAAGAATAAACATGTGACTTCAACTACCACCAACGAAACACACCATAAAAGTTTTAACAAAAACACGAGTGATGTTTCTTCTATGTGTACACGTGGTGGGTCATGTAAGTGAATTGATAAGCTTTTTTACATGTAAAAGCATGATATGCTATGTATTAGTTCATGAGGCTGAGAAAGAGATGATGGGATCAGGAAAGTGATAATTCCAAATAATGTTACATTAAACGTTGGACGCTTCTAGGCGTCAGACTTGGCGCCTAGCGCTTAGTCGTCTAGACGGACGCCTAAACGGTTTCTGAGCGTTTTTATTTTTTTTTATTTTTTTAATTGTGATACTTGAAGATAAATATATATATACTCAATCAACTATGCATAAACACTAAAATCCAACACTATTAACTAAATTGCTTGGTTTACCAATTACAATAGCTCTTTGTATGTTTATACTTCTCAACTCAAATTATAAGTTCATCTCAACAGTGAAAAACTCATTCTCAACTCAAATTACTGTTAACTTATAAGTTACTGTTAAGTTTAAGTTAACAATAAACTTAAACTTAAGTTTACTATTAACTAAAATATTGTTAACTTAAGTTTACTGTTTATTTAAACTTAAGTTTACCATCAACAAAAAACTTAATATTAACTTAAACTTAAACTTAAACTTAAGTTTACTGTTAGCTTAAACTCAAGTTTAACTTAAACTTAAACTTAAACTTAAACTTAAACTTAAGTTTACTATTAACTTACACTTCTTAAGTTTAAGTTATTGTTGTTAACTAACTTAAATAGATATTTAAGAAGTACTATTACACTTCTTAAGTTTAAGTTATTGTTGTTAACTAACTTAAATAGATATTTAAGAAGTACTATTTACCTTGTTAGTAGTTACAGAGATCGGGGCTTAAATAGATATTTAAGAAGTACTATTTACCTTGTTAGTAGTTACAGAGATCGGGGGAGCTCGACAATATTACAGAAGGCGCTAGGCAGACTAGGCGTTTGAGCAAGCGTCTAGTGCCTAGACCCCTGGGTGTACGCCTAGGCAGCGCCTAGGCGTTTGATTATTTTTAAATTATTTAATTATAATAATTGATAAAAATATGTATTAAATTCATATAAATTTTAAAAAAAAGATAGCAATCTTAGTTCCACAATAAATCATGCATATTTAGATACTAAACAGCCAAAATAATAATTAACAAGGCTAGAGCCTAAAATGTTTTCTTTTTTTGTTTTTAATTACAATAATTGATAGTGAATGTGAATGTTATAAAAAGCTTAGATGTCGGACTGGTGTCTAGGCGGTTTTCTTTCTTCATTTAAGTGGTGGTCGATGAGGTTTTGCTAAAGATCGGAGGAGGTAGTAGAGGTGTTCATATTTGGAGGTTAATGGAGTTTGGAGGACGTGTAGGCTACAACACATAAAATCACAACCAATGCTTACAGGGTGCAATCCACGTAAGCAAACAATGCTCCCCTAAATGCTCGTAAAATCTAGGTAGGCAGTCTAAATACCGTCTAGACGCTAGGCGTTAGTTAGGCGGCCTAGGTACCGCCTAGGCCTAGGCGTACGCCTAAGCGGACTAGGCGGAGGTTTTTTAAAACAATGATTCCAAACTAAGAAGGTGGGGAGAAGCTCTCGAATCTAAAAGATTTAGAATTAGTTTAAGAAAAACATAATACATGAAATGCAGCTTTAGTAAACAGTAAGAAGAAATGTGCATTTAGTACATGTGGATGATTAAGGAATAGCTAAGAGTAATCATTTTTGTTATTTAGATTTTAGGGTCAATCATTTGTTATGATGATGAGATTTAGGATGATGTGCTATGTTTTAATTCGTGAGGCTAAGAAAGTGATGATGGGACCAGGAGAGTAATAATTCTAAACTAAGAAGGTGGGGAGAAGCTTTTGAATCTAAAAGCTTAAGAATTAGTTTAAGAGAAACAGCTAAGAGTAATCATTTTTGGTATTTCGGATCAATCATTTGTTATGATGGTGAAATTTAGGATGATATGCTATGAATTAGTTTATGAGGCTAAGAAAGTGATGATGAGACTAGGAAAGTGATAATTCTAACTGAGAAGATGGGGAGAAGCTCTCAAATATAAAAGATTTAGAATTTATTTAAGAAAAATATAATATATGAAATGTAACTTTAGTAAACAGTAAGGAGAAATGTGTATCTAATACATGTGGACGATAAAGGAATAGCTAAAAGTAATCATTATTGTTATCTGGGATCAATCATTTGTTATGATGATGAGATTTAGGATAATGTGGTTCATCAAATCAAATCAAGATGGTTATAATAAATGAGTGCTTCTAGAGTTATAGTGGCCATGGAGTATCTATGAGATTAAGGAGAAAATTTTGTAGGACAACTATGAGACTGATAATGCTTTATGAATCAGAATGTTGGACAATTAAATAACATGCTCAAGAAATGATTAAAGCAGAAATGAGAATGTCATTATATGTTCTTGTTGATATACACTAAATGGTAGGATAACGAATGTGTGCATTCGTTGGAGATTAGAGGATGCTGCTATTAGAGATAAAATTTGAGACATTTGATTGAGATACGCTAGTTATATACTATGAAGGGAACTAAGCAATCAGTTAGGAGAATGATAAGATTTAGTTCATGGAGCAAAAGGACCTGATGTAGACCTAAAAGGTTGTGAAGGTAATTAAGAAGAATATAATAATAGTCAACTAAATGCGATGTAATAGAATTGAATGGAAGACTAAGGTTCAAATAGTTGACTCCAAAAATTTGTGATAAAGGGCTTTATTGTTGTTGTTGTTGTTGTAGAACAGGATATGCTATGTATAAAGATAGATTTTACGGGCCAGGTAAGGTGCATGCCTATGTCACCCTTCCTTCTCTTGTACTGTGTTCTTGAACATTGTATCGTTGCATTGTCTCATATCTACTTAAAATCACCCAAGTGAAAGTGGAAATTGCATTTAGGGTTTACTCCCACATCGCGGATGACTTGAGTTAACCTTTTTGTGTCAAAGCAATTATTCTGTTATTCATTCACGTAGCTGACCCCAAAAAATTGGACAAAAGGCCTTGTATTGTTGTATAAACATGATCTGGTATTTATAAAGGTAGATTTTACAGGCCAGATAAAGACCTATTTAGACCTTCCCTCCCTTTTCGCCTGTTCTTAGATATTGTATCGGCCCTTTATACCTTAATTTTAGTATTCCATCCCATTGGGTCATCTTCCATCTTATTAAATTCATTGAAGTTAAAAGGGAAATTGTAATTGAACTTTACTTCAACATTGGGAATGAGTTAAACTTTTTCGTGCGGCAATAGGTTGGTTTTGGGACGCATTTTGATCTGAGCAGCGAAAGTAGCATGGTGGTGTATTTTAGTTAGCATCTCTATGATTTGGTGGGAGAGGCACTGTTTCTTTAACTCGGGTTAGCCATGTGACAATTATAAATTTTTAGCTAAGTATGTATTAAATGTACAAGCCTCCCAAGTGTTGATCAGAATCTCTACCTTCAAGATTCAGACATAAGGTGGAACTCATGTGTCTGTGAAAACAAAAGGTGAGGACATGTTGAAAGAATTCTGCATCGGTAGAAGTGTTGGCAATTAATGTCCATGGGGTTCAGGCTCAATGTATATGAGATGAAGTGGATTTGTTAGGTACGGGTCTTGCATGCTGTTTAAAGTACCTACGTAAAAGTAACAATTTGAGTTAAGATGTAATTTTTCCATTGTAAACAGATTAGGAATGTGAGTGCTATGTGATTGGTATCAAGACCTAATTTCTTAACCTTTTTTTTTCCTCGAAAGTGGATTCACTCTATTATCAATGTCACCGTGTAGACTCCTCTTTTGTAACAAAACATTTTTTTATTTATTTTAAACTTCTACACCTATTAAATGGTGTGATGAGAAATAGGCAATTATTCTTTTTTTTTTTAGTTTTTTACTTTAACTTATGTGGAGTCTTGTATTCTCTTTTATATGTCCTAATATTATCAGTTTGAGAAGAATGCCCATAAAATCTATATGTACATCAAAGATCTAAGAAACACCCACCAGAACAGAGATTCAATTACAATGTTGGCTGTATGCTCTCTGTTACCATCTGTCACTTTCAGCTATTAATCTATATGTTCTCTTCACTGATTTGCCCATCTATTTCCTTATTGTTTCTTTTCCCTAAATTGTCTTGACAGTTCAAATAAAATAATTGTTGATGGAACTGCTGTTGGAGAAGAAGTTGTCGATATAAAGTGTGGAAGTAAACTTACTTCTGGCCCCTGTAAAAAAGGTAAGTCCAATCAAATATCATTTGTTTTGCCATATTCTTGAATGTGTCATCATCTCTTATATTTTAGCTTTGATGCTTCTTTTCTTGGTATCATATCAAAATTTGGTTAAAAAAAAAGAATGATCTTGTATTTCAAGGAAAGCAATAATATTCTTTTGATTGTAGCACCTATAGTTTTCTTGTTGCTCGAAGTCTTATTTGGGTATGCCTCCTTTGGCTTACTATGTGCCAGAGACAAGTATGATTACCTATAGCAGATTATCATTAAACCACTTTGTCTTGGTTATTTCCTATTGTTAGTGGATTTTGTCTGTTCCTTGTTCATTTTAAGTTAAATTGCGTAAACAAAATTGATAGAACAACCTTTCTTTTAGGGCATGGCCTCTCTTGCTCATACTTGAATTGATAGAATTGTACAAGCTCGCATAATTGATGTGCAGTCAAAAATATTGGGTCAAAGTTGGAGCTCTCTGGACTTTGCTTTGTTCGGCTAGTGCCATCTTGACAGGGAAAGGCTTAGATAATGATAATGTCATAATGATTTATTGATATGATTCCAATGAATTATTTGAGTAAATTGTTCCACTGTGACATTTTTGTCTGATTTGACTGTAAACTAAAGAAACCAATGATAGTTTTGAGAATAGGATAGAAATTTACAGTGAAAAGGAAGTATTGGTCCCATTTGATGTTCAAATCATCACTGATGCCTTTAGAGCATGCAGCGATGGGCTGGCCCTAAGCAATAAGCCTGATAGGTTAAGCTTTCAGTTCTTATGGACAAGATATCAGTTCTTATGGACAAGATACCCAAATGAAGTGGTAATTAGTGCTGCATGGAGAATAAGCATTGGCATGTTCTGCTCTGTAAATCTTGGAATAAAAGCTGAGCTCTTGTTGACATTGTTTCTGTATTACAAATGAAATGCAGATAAGCTGGTCCCTATTAAAGTTGATTGGAGAATTAAAGTTCTGGCATATCCTACCCCAAAAATTTTGGAATAAAACTTGAGCTGCTGTTGACATTGTTTCTGTATCACACATGGAGTACAGTTGGTCAAATCTATATTAGTAGGAATGTTTTCAGCTTTCGTAAATAGAGTGTCCAGAGGAGTTGGTCCTTCACAAAACTGAGAGGAAAGGACTATATTGCTGGCGCAATAATTTGGAGGATTTGCTGCTGCTAGCCTGCTACCATACGAATGCCTTGAGGTTGGTTTGTAAAGCTTCCTTGTGGACAAGAAACTAGGTGATTACAGAATGCAATAACATAGTGCAATAATTGAAAGTTGCTCTAACGTATGGACAATTGCTGGGCAGCAAACCCTGAAACTAAATTAGACTATTTTAACTGACTATGCTTTAAGATTTATATCGAATTATATGTTTTAATTTAAAGTTACATTAGTGTTACTGCATCCCTCAACTTGTGTGCCCTCACAAATATGAGGGATTAAGGCAGCAAGTTATCTTTAAGCTCGCAAGTCTGTTCATTTTGAAGAACAAGGGAGGTAAAACTGAATATCACACAGAAATGGTAGCTGACATTTAAAAGCTTGAACTTTATAATTGGCATTTCTCCTGTTGTGCTGTTTTGGTAGTGATTTAATCTTTTTCTTTTTCATCTTATTCTTCTTTTGTTGGTTTTATAATTCTATAACTGAAACCCCAAAAGATGATTCATGTCTTTTCAAGATTTTGCCCTTCATCACTTGTTTTTTTATTTATTAAATGTTTAATGCAATAAAATTCCTGAAGTTATAATTAGATACTGCTTAAACTTGAATTTAGTTGCAGCTCACTAGCTTTGCTGTACATTACCTCAGAAATTTGCTATGCAACCGCCATGTTTCTATCTTCTATGCTTGATCCGTGTTTCTGATCAGAGAATCTAGCTTAGAAAAGTAGTCATGGAATATTTCATTTTCATCCTGTATGTTTTTTGATGTTAGGGCTTCTGCTGTCGTCATTAATCTTGAGCCTGTGATCAATTTACGCACCTCTGCTGTTTTTTATCCTGATACCTATACTTCTGAAAACATGAATACCTTATTGTTAGTTGTGATGTTATTATAGCTTTCCATTAATATTATTACTCTTATAATAGTTTCGACCAAGTAGTTCTCTGAATATATTTTCCTTTAAAATACTTTTCAGGGTTCTTAAGTTATACTTTTGAATTTCTACCCTCCCAGAGGCGTGAAAGAAAAAGTATGAAGGTTAGTTTTTCAAGAAATTCTATTTTCATTTCCTTTAGTTTTTAGGGTATTGCTGCTGGTTCATGGTTCATGATTTTACTGTTTGAATGCGGTAGATTTCCTTAGATGTCGAACATGCAAAATGCAGTATATGCCTAAACATATGGCATGATGTTGTCACCGTTGCTCCTTGTCTGCACAATTTCTGGTAATTGATCTCTTTTTGTTTAGCCAAATTTTTATTTGAACCTTTCTTGCTTCTATCATTTAATGATGAACCCTACTTTTTTTTTAATGTAGTAATGGTTGCTTCTCAGAGTGGTTAAGGAGATCTTCAACCCGTTCTCAAGATAAGCAGAAAAGTGTAGTCTGTCCCCAGTGTCGAGCAATTATATATTCTGTGGGAAGAAACCATTTTTTGCATACTCTTGAAGAGGTGCTTTCTTCCACTATTTTTTCCTTCTCCAAATGTTTGATAAGGTTTTCATGTAGATCTACTTCATCCCTATGGCTTGCAACATGCCCTATGTATAATATATTGCACTTTTGATTGAAGTGGAATTTATCATAGTTGAGAAATAAATATGGCTAGCATGCTGCTTTGCTTGTATCTACATAGAGATTCTTTTTTTATGTGGGCTGGTTTCTAGATTCTGGTATGTTATAGAGTAGATTTATTTGCTTCTATGCTTATAAGAGGACATCTCATATTTTTGTGGAGGATTGTTGTACTACGTGTGACTGCGGATGTCCTTGGATTACCTCATGTAATATTATTATATCAATAGAGAATATTGGAGCAATCAGGCTATTATTTGAAAAAGTAATTATATTTTCTGTTTACATCATTGGACATGAGTGTTGAGACTTACTCTAACATGCAGTGGTATTTTTCATTTGTGAAATAAGATGGAGGCATGTAACTGACAGGTATAAACGTTCCTGCAAAGCTAAATCTAAACAATTTCCCCCACAACAAGTGCTTCCAGAAAGTGAGAATGTAGCCAGGGCTTAGATGATCTTGATCATTCATGATACATGATTTGGTTTAGTTTGTGCAAATTCACATGTTGCTCTTGGTTTGAGCCTCTCTTCCACCAACATATCCTCCAGCTGGAAGTTCTTTCCTGTTTTTTTCTTAGAAGTTTGTTTGAAGTTTTATAATAAATGAAGCTCTTAGAAAAAAGGGAAACTCAATTGACAAAGAAGAAATGTGTGTCCTGTGGATGATAGGGCAGCTACAAGTTTACAGAGAATTTTTTTTCATTAATTAAAGCTATAGTCACAAGTCACTTCACACTTTGTGGTTACATATTAGTTCTTTTCCTGTGGAAAATTATGATAACAAGGAAGAAACTACATTCCAGAACATTCCATTATGCTAGCCCGCTAAGTTTCACAAGACATGACAGCTACAAGTTTCACATAGAAAATCAGTTAGGTAAAGAATGAATGCTATTCAACAATAAGTGCTTCATTTGTAATTTAGATGCCTAATTTTGAGGTCGTTTAGCCTTTAGAAGCACACTGCATATAATCGCTTTGAAGTAGGTATATGCACACGACCTCTTTGAAGTAGGTATATGCACATGAATCCTTGACATGGTTAATTAGCAGGCTACATCCTTACCGTATCCTTACTCCAGTCTAATGTTAGTTGACAGAAATGGGGCGAACTGCATTCTCAGTGAAGTACCAAAAAATCCTTGCTAAAGGGCATTGTTTGTTAATCCTTGGCGTTAAATGTGGGAAGGGTTTGTGCAGTTTATCCTTTAGGCATCAATTGATATGCTTCTAATGATCTATATCAGAAACCTTGTAAGAAACTATGGATACTGTGCGTGGAATAAAACTAGTGGGATCTAATAATATATTCATGAATTTGAACTCAGATTGTGGCTTGTTGGAAAACCTATAACTGCGGGTGTTGCGTGTATTCAACTTGCTCCGGATCCTAATGTCCTGGCTAAAATTATCGGTTTTAGCTTGGCATACTTAGGCCAAAGTTTAGAAGTATGTAAATTCTTGGGTGACATGTTCTTCGTCTCACTATTTAGTATTTTACATGTTATGAGGCATGGTTTTAAGCTCATTTTGGCTTGCGAAAATGGTGCACAGATGAGCAGGACTATGCTTGGGAGAACATGTTTGAATGTACCTAGCTCCTTGGAAAACTTAAGTCTGGGCAAACTGTCCCACTCTGTCTCTACTTTTAATGCTTCTGCATTTATTTATTGAACTTGTAGGTTACAAATGTCCTGAAAGAAAGCCCCTAAGTAAATGGGATTGTCATATTAATGGATGATTGTTTTCCTTTAGTCTGAGTTGATTTAAATTAATTTCAGTTAGATGGGCATGGGAGCATACTTAAAGGGCTTATAATTCACATGAAACTAGCCTTTACACACTATTCACCAAATGTATTTATGCTACTGAGTCGTTTAACTGCTATCACAACACTTCTCACCACTGTGCATATTTAATGGATAATCAGTTATCTACTTGGCACAAGTTTCAAGCAGTTGCTACATGTGAGAAGAGCAGCTTCCTAGTAGAGCATAGCACCCCAAACTTTACCAAGAAAAAAAAACTTTTGCAAAGATCTAAAGGTTTGGAGCATCACAGGTGCATTATGTTTAAGCCACTAAGGATGTTCTACCCTCTATTGTCCTCTCGTGTTTGACATCTGTCTTCTTTTTGAGAATATCATTGTATTTTTAGCGTTTTCTTTTGTTTCATTAACTAGAAAGGCATTACATATATAAATTATTGTGTTGAAGAGAGAGAGAGTTTTTTTTGGGGGGGTGGCGGTGGGGGGGGGGGTGGGGG